TGAAATAAAGACAAAAAAGGAAGAAAACCGACGAAAGAAATAAGAAGAAGTTGAGAACGATTTTAACGCCTTTTCTCCTTTCGTTCTGTGTCTTGCTTTTGTTGTTGTTATTTTGGTTGGTTCGTTTTTGTTTTTTCTTTCATTCAATATTCACCATGGTTAGCGCGAGTGGCTGCTTAACTTACATCGTCGGAAAGTGAAAACCATAAATATATCAAACTCCATTGTAAAATGTTATTTATTGTTAATCTTTTAGCAAATGAACGATCATATCGAAAGCAAATTCAACGCACATTCACTAACACAGTATTGCGGTGAATGTGGAACACTTTCATATTGTTGAACCTGCATTCGATGAAAGTTCGCCTGAACGAGGTTATCAAAGTGAAATGCAACAGCACACCAAATACCAGGATAGAAAAATACCCCAAATAAATTTAACAAAACAAAAGGAATGAAAGGAAAATAAGAACGAAGATAATGGAGAGAGAGTGAGAGAGCGGCAAAAAGAATGCGAAAAAAGGTTGCTTCGAATAGCACATAACCGTAATTATGATGAAAATATAATAAGAGAAGCATTATGATAATGATATTAGTAAAGTGGGCGACCATGAATAAAAATGTCTCCGAAAGAAATGATTTGATGTAAAAAGATGCAAGAAAAATGCTCAAAACTGTTCACAGATTGTGATGAAAATATTGTCTGGAAAAAGAGATTGACTAACTTATATTGACTGTTAATGATTTTGGTTGACTAATTTCATTGATTTAATTTAATAACCAGATTACTATTTTGGGACATTTTAACTGACAATCGAATTTAGTTAACTAAAATGATTCATTTTGTTTGCATATAGCGAATCGATTTTATCCAAAAATATAGTCAATCAGTAGCTAATTCGTTAATGTTTGCAAAACTGACCTTTCATATATCATCATTCCATTAATGGAAGAAGTAAGTGAAAAAACATATATGAATGGGTCAGAATAAAAATCCGACTTGTATTACAACAAATAAACTATGTAAAAAAAACTCCATGTTCCACTTTTATAGACTCTGCGTACAAGTCGGATTTTTATTTTGACCCATTCATATAATCCCGTTTTTTATAAGTGAAAAAACCCGCATTGACCTGGCACCATACTCAAAATAAGTTTTAAAAGTGATTTTGCGTTGAATCGAGAGCATTAAATATATAATCAAAATCAAATGATCCCGAAAAATATAAAAAATTGTGCAATGTAATCTTCAACAACAAAAAAGTCTTCATCAATTTTATTAGCTCAATACTAAAAGTTTGAACTTAATGCACCTGTTTATTTAAAATCCATTAACACCGTTCTTTTCTCCTTTAAGCTGTGTTCCTCATAACTTATATAGTGTTTGAACTAATTTGATTTATTATACTTACAATAATTTCATTTACTGCAAAAGTTGAAAGTTCAAACTATTCATCATGACCTTTTTTAACCGACGAAAAAAAGAAGTTTGAGTGGGACGATAAAAAGGTAGAGACACAAAAAAATACCCCCAAAACCGTATACCGACCGAATGAATAAAAACAAAACAAAATATTTTTTGACTCTGGCGAGAACTTTTAATTGAATTTAACGTGGATTGAATGGTCTAGTTTGGGATTTGTTTGTGAATTTATGAAATAAAATATTGAAATGTGCGAAACACTCCCCCCATTAGCCACTCTATCTAACTTACTGAGCTTTTGTATTTAAAAAATGTTTTAATCCTCTACAAATTGTTCATCGATTTTGTGTCTACACGCTTCAATAATTGAATTCAATTTTTGCAAACGATTCATTGATTTAAACTGGAATTCTTTGTGTGAATTTGCATTGAAAAAAGAAGCTTTTAAAAATACTTAACAACTGCTTCTTCTTTGTAAAACAAGGCAGCACAAAAAATAGAAAGGCTCTAGCGATGGCATTATTGGTTTGTAGTTGTGTATGCACATATTTGATAAACAATCAGCAGCATTCAACACATGAATAAATAAATTCATTCCAAATCAGAGAGTCAATCAAATAAAAAACACACACACAATTTTGTGCTCTCTTCGAATTTGCATTTGCTTTTAGAAATTAAATAACTCCATAAATGGTATAGTTTCCACGCGCTATGGCCAGTTGAAATTGTTTTATTTAATATAAATGTTCATGTGTATCGCAAACACAAATATGGTCGGAATCGTCGAGGTTTTTCACTGATAAAATTGATAAATAAATTTGTATACAGATCAGTGGGCATTGATTGAATGTATTTTTTCGGGTTAAATTCTCAACTGATTGGCTATTGTTCGACGTGAATTTGTGTTTTTATCCGAAAATAATTGCATAAAAAGATTTTATAACTGATTTAAAACGATGGAATGTTTACAAAATCATGCATGCTTCAATAATTGCCAAAGAGAACATTTGAGAGAGAAACCAAAATTTAAGCCAATGTTTATATTTTTTCTATTGTTTTTTGTTCTTCTAACCGAACAATAATGATTCATCGTTGCAACTTTTATCATTCGACTGTATCTATGCCTCACTAGATTTGTACATTTATCGGCAAAAAGACACAACTCAAATGAAATACTATATTTTACGTATTAAATACCATGTATCACACACTACGATGTGGATTTATGGGCATTTTCTTTAATTAACCCGTAGCTATTAGTGAACGCAAAAGGGTAACATTTAATCGTATCTTAGCAATTCCAGTTTAAAGTGAAATTTGATTATGATTGTCGATGAGTTTGTACATGACACACAATGCACGACATTTTCAAATTGTCAGAAGTAACATTGAATTATTTCTTTGTGAATATGTTGGTATTATGGCTGAAAGCAAAGGTTATATGTCATTTGGTAAGCTATTCATAAACGGTGTTGTTTGAAATGACATCACATGTAACGTTCGAAAACTTTCGTCATTTTCTTAACATTTATAATATATATATGTGAGTGTTCACAAGTAATATAAGTTGGCATCAACAAAGGTCTCTATCGGTACACTATTCTCCTTTGTTGAAAATCATCTCATCTCTGCAAGCTATTATTTGAAACTTGTGCAACCGGAGGAACCTCCGTCAATCCCACCTAAAGTTCAAATACCAAATTTAATTTCGTAATATACAGAAGCACACACACATCCATAAAGACATCTCATACATCTAACAACATCTATTACATTTGTCTGAATTTTTTTTTGTGGTTCCTATTCACAAATGAGATAAATGAAAATAACTAAAAATAAATTTCATTTTAGAGAAGAAGAAGAAGAAAAAAAACTATCCACAAATAATTGCGAGCAGCATTACAATTTTGATCATATTTTATATTTCATTTTGCAAAAAATAATTTTGAATATAATTCCAAACACGATTTATTAGCGGATATCAAGAACGGGAACTAAATTGAACGTCATTTATTTCATGTGTTTGCCACATTAACGAAAACGAGATTTGCGGGCGAACGTAAGTATTCAATCGGACTGAGAGAAACGGAACGAGAGAAGAAGAATGAAGAAAAAAATTATGCAAGGCGGAACAGAAGTACATATGTAGAATGAAATAATTTTCCATCGGAGATTCATATCGTATGTGTGCGCTGCAAACAAATTTCAATGCTAAATGTAGAAAAACGGCAAAAAAAGAGAGATCCACCACATTCATAATGTAATCGCAGTCAACCGAAATTCACTCATTGAAATGGAAAATGTATACGAATCCCCCAAAGATGCCACTTTTTATATTTTGCTATTTTCATTTTGAAAAAAAAAAAGATAGACGCACAAAAAGAGATGAAGAGAAAGAGAGGGAGAGAGAGAGAGAGAGACACTGAATAAAAAATACGTAACTCAAAAACTTAAGCAACGATACACTGCTACACTATAGACATAATCAAGCGTTGCACGTATGGTCTCTCTCTCCAGTGGTAACATATTTTCTTCTGCTCGGGCAAATATTTTTCAAATGTTAAGTCAAAGAAACTAAATCATTCCAGTTGCGCATCAAACGAAACACACTAACAGAGAGTGAGCGAGAATAACAGAAAAGCGGCGAGAATAACAGAAAAAAAAACGAAAAGCAAACACATTGCCAAATATATGTATAATAACAAAAACAAACTGTTTGCATGTATTTAAGCGTTCATTCATTCCCGTGTCCGCACTCTCTCTCTCTCTCTCCGGTTTTGGTTTTTAGCACGAAACTAAACCTCACCCGGCTGTACTATATTTCGGTTCGCATGCAATGGAAATGAAAGTTGAAAAATTCAAATCCGAAATATTTTGAAACCATTAAAATAAGCATCAACGAATAAAAGTAAAATAAAAATGAACAAACAGAAATAAAAATAAAAATAAATAGGAGAACAGAGAGTGAATAGAAATTGAGTGAGGGATGAGTGAATGCGATAGAGAATGTGAGAAAAGAAAAAGCGAGAAAAAGAGAGGGAGCAATGTGAAAGTGTTTTGCAGCGAAAACGATCTCATCGAAATAAATACGTGAACGAAATGGTGCAAAAGGGATGCATCCACAATCAAACTCAATTCTCAAAATGGCAAGAGAACGGTACAGCAGTAGCAATAGCTCCAGTGGCACGATATCAACCAACCGACAACGATTACTGTGTTTGTTATATTAAGGATACGGTCGCGTATCCAACCCGAATGCCGCAAATTGAACGGGAAAGCGCCAAAGAACTTTCGGCATTTGCCTGTAAAAGCTGAATGCGCTGCATCAGGTAGCAATGTAGTGTTTCATGAACACTCACAACGTACATTTCTTCAGATAAAGAATATCCATAACACAAAAATATACATGTTACATAAAACAAAATAGTCCACACACACACAGACACATATTCACTCATTCACTCTGGGATATCGGTTGTAAAGGCTCGATGAAAGAACACACTCTTCTCACGCGGAAGATTGTGTGATGTAATGTGGTAAGCAAAAGAGAAAAAGATGTGTGTTTACGTATACATACCTATATTGTAAAATGTTCTTCAGCTCTTCCAATTTTATCACTCGTCCGAGGTGAATACGACAAGCCAGCCCGTGAATTGGTTGGTAAGTTCTGTGAATACAAAGTGTAAATGATGAAAAAAATAATACACAATTTCACTTCTCCTGCCCACTCTGTCTCTCTCTCTCTCTTACACACACACGAATTTTTGGTTCATTATGTATGTGAGTGTTTAAATATTTGAATGGTTTTAGGCATTGTGTAAATCTAAAAGGTTTAGTAGCGATTTGAGAAATGTAATAAAATTGAAACTTTTCTGTTAACGCGTTAAAAAGTGTGGGGAAATCTAACGACAGAGGCAATCAAATGAAATACACCAAGTGAGCGTCGATTATAGCTTAAATTGATGGGCGCACAGAAGCCAACGCCGGGGCTGAGGGGCAAGCAATGGCATAACGCTTACTCTGCAGAGGTAAATTGTTTCAACGAGAATGAGAACACACTGAATGCTAACACAATACGGAGCCATTGCAAAAAGGAGGAAAAAATAGAAAAAAAAAATAATAATTGTACATTGCCATTGCAAAGCTTTTATTTTGCCAACCACTTGCTCTATTTGTTCTTTCACTTGAGATCGTAGTTTAAATGAAATTATAACAATTGTCTTACGTTCTCGACGAATGACGCATTCCATAATGGATATGTTCTTAGTGTAATTCGGCTTTAGCAATCTCCGTTCTATCTACTTTTTTCCCCGTTTTCTCTATTTCACTTTTCTATTCATTCATTTTCACTCTTCGCCAGCGTTTCGTGTCGACAAATAAAATGTGAACGACAGAAGAAGAAGAAAAAAAAAAACAATAGTGTGCAAAATTGGAACACACGAAAACGCAGCATTTCAGTATACAGACCATCGAGTTGGATGGAAAAAGAAACGACCGAAATTAAGTTAATTATGTGAATTTTTAATTGGCCTACAGAAACGCTTGTAACGGACAAAATTTTAGATAAATGTTCGATGTTTTTTTTTATTCGCAAATTTTGTAGATGTATGAAGTTGGTAAAATTGCTGCAAAGTCTCAACAAAATGAAATGATTTCTATATATAAACTGGATGGAACAACATGTCATTGCATTTTCAGTAAACTGAACTGTTAATTTATACACATTTTCCGACATAGATACGGAGAGAAATTGGGAGAAAGTGTGCAGCAGAGACATCGGCAGGCACAACATGAAGTACTCAATTGCAACAATAAAAGCAACAACAATACCGAACCATGAAAAGAATAACAAGGAAGCAGTTGGATTAAATCAAAATATGTATTCAGATTATTTTCGCTCTGTGTGTCGATGTTTCAAAAAAAAGGGAAGAAAAAAGAATGGAAATTGTGAACGCAAATGCATTTCATCGACCTGCTGTATCGTATCATTTGAAACAATACGTTTATATAGCATTAGCAGCAACCATTTGTGCAAAAACGTGTAACTGTGGGCCAAGTACCCAAAAACTGGAACAAAAAACAAAAAATGGAATTAAAATGAAAAACAAAATTCGATGTAAAAGTTTTCACAACTAACGCTATTTCAACTTTATCTTCAGTAGTTTTCAATGGATCGGATGTTTCATAATTTTCGGTTAGTTTCATAACACGCACATGGTACTTGTGGATGTATCGCACATGCTCAAATGTCGGATGATTCGCATAGATAAATATGAAATATTCAAAGTATTTGACTTAAGTTTCAAGTCCATTCGCTTGTTTACTCGTTCTATTGCTCGATCTCTATCCCCCATTTCTCTCTGCTCTCTGTATCTCATTTTTGTTCTGTCAACCACTATTTTTCTCGCACTTATTCGCTTACACTAACACCGACTATGGTAACATGTAAACACACTCCCGAACACATTTCGGTGTTTTCCATTTTTCCGTCAATTTTCGGTAGCATCAAAAACCATATTTGTTTAGGTCTTCATCAAATATTTATTCATAATTATGCGACAAATTAGAGATTAGATTAGCAAATAAGCAACGAAATCGTCATCATACACAGTTGTATGTGTGAATTTCACTGAATACCTTGATTATTATTCTATTTTCATTTGGTGTGTTGAGGCAATCTATGAACATTTTCGCACAAATATGACTAATTGGATGCTTGGCACTTCATTTAATAATTTCTAAATCACGTCGAATAATCAACAAGGGTTTTTCGGAGTGGAAAATATAACGAGCTCTGGGTTGACTTAAAAAATCAATCCAACCACACCGTTCGCAATTCAACCAAGAAAAAAAAAATCACGTTACCATTGACAATAACAAATCAAATCAAATGTCTGAAAACGATGTAAGATTTAGGCAGGCTTTTGTACAGAGTGAAATGACATAACATGAACGGATGTGATTGCTATGACAACTGGATTATTTGAATGGATGACATAAATACATGAATAAGCCTATTGATAAACGGTAACAGTTCCCACATGAGCGTAATGCAATTAAAATTACCGATAAACTCACGTAAAAAGTATTGGATTGAAACCGATTATGTATCAATGATGGCATCGTTAAAATGTACTTAAAAAATTTCCGCATTTTTTGCAAAATAATATGACATTTGTTTAGCATAAGCTTAAACAAACGAAACGATATTTTCGGAATAATTTTAATCGGTTTACTGCTGATGTAATATTTTACCCAATGAGATTACAAAATACAAAAAAATATGACCAAAATCAATGAAAACCCGTGCAT